CTTTTGGTTTGCATGATATCCTTTGAAGGGTTTGTGGCAGCTATAGGGTACTGATGTTGTCAGTTATTTATATATCTCTGCCCTAATACCATGCAGCATTACATGTTCTAACCTTTCATTCTGGTGTTTGGGATTAGAAGACTAATTCACAGGAAATTTCTTAAATACATTCATTGTGCAAATTCATTACATTTGTCAACTTTGGGCTAATTATTTTTATACAGCTAGGGCTGGGCATTGCATCTTGTGATCGTCTTTCTTACTAATAGGATTCTGTCTGCTTCAGCAGGCAGTAATTGAAGGCTTCATGTACAAGGTAGGGGGAGAAAAGTTTTAGCATGAATGGGCCATTGTAACAGCTTCTGGTGACTAGCAAATTTGAACAGAGGAGGAAAATGAACTAAGAAGAATTACAGACTATTCTTAAAAAAATTGGAGAAAGTGTGCAGTATTAGTAGAAATAAGTGTTAATGAAACTTTTATATGCAAACATTTTGTATGTTGTTTGAAGGCTCAAGTCCCCCCCCCTCCAATTTTTTTTAAAATTTTAATTAGTACTAGAAATCTGAAACTTTGTAAGCCTTATCTGCACTGTTAAAGCATGGAAAGCACTAAGAATAGTTGCAGTGGCTTAATTTTTTCAGGGTGGGGGTGTGTTGTGATCAATATCTTAATAGACCAGTGTAGCAAACATGGTGCTTTCCAGATGTTGTTAGACTCACATAAGTTCAAGCAACAACTGGCAGCCACTCCTGTACTAGACACTGCTTTGTGACATGAATTGGGGTGGGGTGGGGAGGATGACTATATATGCTTATGGATAATATTTTTTCTTCTTTATCTGAAATCTATAAAACAATTCTATTTCAGACTTTATGTCAAAATTTTATTGCAGTTAAAATACAATCAAATGATCATCTTTCTTAGAGTAGAACAAAAACCCAGTATATAGATCTGTAGAGAAAAATAACATAACTGTACAGCTGCATGTAACAAAGGAGGAAAGCATGGATAAAAGAATATGCTTTCTATGTTCCATACTGATATTGTATAATCATTCAGAAGAGAGAATGAATGCTGCTTCTACAGTTGCATGGTTTTATAACATCATTCATATTATGCTTGCATGCCTTGTCATACTAGGGAATAAACAAGTTGCATTTTACTCAAAAACAAGGACAGCTGTGCCAGCCCACAAGAAAAAAACAAACAAACTACATTAGAGCAGTACCGTTATTTGATCCTCACCTGGTTTAGCCATCCAGATGAAGCCATTCCCCAGAGTGTGGCTGCTGTCACATGCTGACAACTTCTTGGAGCCACAGGTGAATGCTGAGTGCAGGGTGGGGACCAAAGGTGGACAAACTACTGCGGAAGGAGCAGGACATATCCCCCACCAGAAAAACTACCCTTCTCCTAACACCTCATACACTATAGGTAAGACCAAGCACAGTTAGCCTAGTTTAGACATAACACTGCACTGTGGTTAGCTAAAAACAGAAGTGAAAGTTTCCAATCTTCTCCTTATGGCCACACTTTGTGAACAAGCCTTCCCCGACCCTTACCCTTAGTCCTAGACCATATTTCAGCTTTGTCCAAATGAAGCTACCATGTGCCTTAGCGAGGAAATTATTTAACTATATTTTCATGTTTGTTAAGTCTCCTAATTAGACCACTGTGAGGCCATCATATTCTTAAAGCAATTACATTCTGTGTTTTGTGTCTGTTCTGCACTACTTTCCATTGTAGGAACTCCATGTACTCTGGGGGGAAATGAAGCAGTAGGTGCTGCTGTGTTGACAGATAATATGTATGTGTTTATGATGACCAGAGACTTATTGTACAAAAGATTCACTTTTGTTGATGAGAGAACATTGCTTTTATTGCCATAGTATATGTATTATCTCAGTTGTGATTCAGCTGCTTCATTATATTAAATCTTTCATGAGTTAATATAAACTTTAATGATTTACTGACATTTGAACTTGTCACAGAAACAGGCTCAACATTCAAAGATGCCTGTTGTCTCCAAGAAACATATTTTTATTAAGGGACATAGTAAATTCCACCTCAAACTACATGTGATTCCAGCAGTTTCTTTAGACTTGAGTCTCTCCTAATCACATATAAAGTGGTGAATGAATCCTTGAATATTATTGAAAAACTGGAGGAGAAGGGTTGGAGCAGGGGTGGTGAACCTTCCTTCCTAGTTTACCTTCTGGCAGTTCATCCTTCCTGTCTCATTTCCCCTCATCCAAGCTATAATACCTGAAGACTCTACTTGGTTGGATGAAAAGTGCCTGAGGGGAAGAGGCTCTGGATAGTAAATGAGCAGGTATTGAGAGGGTTCAGCTCCCCTTATTACACCTGCTAAAACCTGGACTCTTGCACCACTGCAATTCCATTTTTGTATGTGATCAAACCAGGCCAGGAATTAAACAAATCAGTTTCCTATTGCTTAGCATAGTTCCAGCCATCGTCCGCCATGCCACATAAGACCACGTGTGTCCTTGAGTACAGTGTTCTGTACTTGCCATATGTCTACTGTGCAAGTTGCTTAAAGGTAAAGGTACCCCTGCCTGTACGGGCCAGTCTTGACAGACTCTAGGGTTGTGCGCTCATCTCACTCTAGAGGCCGGGAGCCAGCGCTGTCCGCAGACACTTCCGGGTCACGTGGCCAGCGTGACATCGCTGCTCTGGTGAGCCAGCGCAGCACACGGAACGCTGTTTACCTTCCCGCTGGTAAGCGGTCCCTATTTATCTACTTGCACCCGGGGGTGCTTTCGAACTGCTAGGTTGGCAGGTGCTGGGACCGAACGACGGGAGCGCACCCTGCCGCGGCGATTCGAACCTCCGACCATGCGATCGGCAAGTCCTAGGCGCTGAGGTTTTACCCACAGCGCCACCCGCGTCCCCTTGCAAGTTGCTTAGATATTAGTAAAGAGGTGTTTACTTTCCACCGTCCATAATCATTTGCAGCCAAACTTGCCTTCCATTTTAAATAGATTTTCTTAAACAGTTAAGTGTCATGTGAGATTCTACTAGTCATCTGATATCAGTAAGTGCTCCCAACATTAGTTCCCCTTAGAGACAAAAGCTACATTAATCCATGCTACACTGGAAGTTAGAACTTTAGTTTAAGATAGCCTTCACTGACCCATTAGTTGACCACAGTATCTTCTTTTTAAAAAGGCATTCTGAAGTATTCATTTCAAATAAATTTTCCTTATCTAATTGCTTTAAACGACACACAAAGGCACCCAGCCAGAATTGACCCTCATTGTGCCTTTGGGCTATGTTTGCTTTTATAATAACATTGACTTTATATCACTTGCAGTTTAGGCTAGAACAGGAGTAAAATGAGCCTTGGGGCTAGGAAGCCCCAGCTCTGGAGCTTTAATTGTGTGAATTCAGGCATAATCTGTTTCTCTGTAGTCCCAAGACACAAGTGTTAAATAAATAAAGAGACTAATAGGACTATTGTTTACATAATTATCACCCTTTCCAAATTGATGGGAGAAACATAGATTTTAACATCATGGTAAAGATACTAAATGGGACTGCTGGTATTTCTTTGAAATCTTTTCATTGGATAGGGATTTATTTTCTTATTGGATATAAAGAGTGGAAATTGTGTATCCAATCTGAATAAAAGAAATATATTGACCTGTGAGAAGAGTGACATTTAAGGATGACTTATTTTCCTAAATTAGTGTAATGTGTTACAAGATTTTGAGGTTGATATGCTTAATTTTTTAAAAAAGAAATTACTTTTCATTTAAAGAGAATCTGCTTCCTGCTGAAGAGGCTAATATTTTAATTAAGTCTAGAGAGAAGCTTTTTGAGTATCTGCTGATAAACTCCCTCTTTTATGTTGATGGTAATTAAACAGATCCCTAAGGAGCCCAGGAGGCGCTGTGCAAGGCCCATGCTAATTGTCAGACATGAGACACTGACCAGTTGGTTTGCTCTTGAATAGCTGATGGCGTGCTGTCAGCAGTTTTATTTTTATGTATTGTGAGCCGTTGTCAGGGCTAACTGGGTCCTATTGTGGCTGAAGATGTTGCGCAAATTGAGGCAGATGGCTCTGATTCAGACACGTGTCATTCAGAAAGGGGAGAGGGAATTGGCCCTGCAAAGTGGGGTCACAGAGGGTCACAGACCTGCTCTACACTTGTTAGTGTTTTCAAAAGCCCATGTGCAGCAACTTTGTTGTTCTCTGGGTGGTTCTTCTTCTTTTTTGAAAGGGGGGGGTAGTATGCTTTGTGGAACATGGAAGGATGGGCTGTTGCCTTCCCTTCCCTTTCTGTCTCTAGGGTCTTGCTGTGCATGCAGAATGAATTAACAGGATTGACAGAAGTTCATTGTGCCTAAAATGGCTTTTCAGTCAATTGCAGTGCTTAAGATACTAGTTTGCTTTTAATTCCATGTAATGAGTAGGTTCTTCATGTTTTGGAATTTAGTATTCGAAGATTAGATCTCAAGTTTGCTTTCATTATATAAAGTTCTTAGAAGTGTATTAATTATCAGAGAAATAAAAATGGAAAGATTGGTTACTTTGGAAGTCCTGTCCCCATGTGTGAGGTTATGTGCTGAGAGAAAGACTTTTCCTATTGAGCTATGTGTTGTTAACTTTGGTAACTTTGGTTAGCTGTCTAATTTTAAATGTATTTTAACAGGATTACTGTATTTTGAATAATTCAACACTTGTGTTGCCTAATAATCTGTTTGCTCTCAGCCAAAGTTCAGGTTGTTGGTATATAAAAATTAGGGATTGTGTAAATTTGACTGCCTTCTAAAGCCTGCTTTAAGCCGTCTCAATTGTCTTCTATTTCCGTTATGAAGTTGTATTTGTATTGTGCTATGGTATGTTCATGACTTGGGGATTTTGTTACAAAAAATTCTGGTGATATATAACTTCATTGAATTAGGAAAACGTCACTTGTGGGTTTTTTTGTTTTGTACAAAAGGTAATCACAGATTTTGTTTCCATCCTCTAGATTTGCAGCTAAAACGGTGCATAGTGGGTCACTGCTGCTAGTCACAGTGGAGATGGAAGAAGGGTCTACAGCACAGCTCATCATAAACACCGAGAAAACCGTGATTGGCTCTATTCTGCTGCGGGAGCTGAAGCCTGTCCTGTCCCAGGGGTAACCTGCTTACATCTGGACTTCAGAATCTGGCACACAACAAAAGTGCCTGGCATCCACTACTGCTGCCTTTCATTTATAATAATAGCCTTTCCATCTGGCAGTGGGGGAAGAATACACTCTTGACATTCTTGTCTCCTGTTTTAGAATGCTATAGTGTGCATCTATCACACACAAGCAAGTACTTCGCATCTTTCCCCCTTGCTTTTTAACCAAAGAAACATGTACTTTACTGTCAGCTAAATTCATAAATGTTATTTACAAGGTGTTTTTCCTAGCCTCATACTCTTTCTGCTTTCCTCATTTTCATGTTTTGTTTTCTCTCATGAAAACAATAAAAGACTGAGGAATAAGGTACTGGAAAAAAATCAGCTTAATCAGAACACTAAAATAAAATTCAAGGAAATCAATATGGAAAATACCTTCACAGTGTTGATTGTACTGGAGTGTTTGAGAGAGATAAAATTTTGCAGTTTTTATATCCCAGAGACTATTTGCTTCTGTACTTGAGCATATATTTGTATCTAATCGTTCCTCACGGCTGCCATAATTTTCTAAAAATTGAGATTCTAATAAAGTCATGTTATGATAAATTTGTTTTCTTCTGAGAGCTATTAAAAACAAAATTTCTATTACAACTTGATTATTACTTGAGAACCTCAGTGTTGACATTCTACTTTTTAGAAAGCCTCAAAAATTGCAATGAGTTTCATTAGTCAACTTATTACAGACTTAATTCTAGATTTACATCATAGGTGATGGGTTTGGGAAGTGTATCTATTCTGTCCAGTGTAACATTGTAAGTGATCACACCACCTTTCTTCTGCATTATCATTTGGTTATAGAATTTAGCTTTATGCAGCAGCTTCTCTATACTAGAGAAAAAATGAGGATTCTGTGGCACTTTAGGGACAGACTGGTCTACTGTAGTCAATTTATTGTATCTTCCATGGTCAATAGCCTACTCATCCAATACATAAAGTAGACTAGAGAGGTTTGTGCTCATGTGAGTTTAAAAACTGCTTAGAGAGAGAATTTGTTTTGTATCTAAAGGTCACAGAGCTCACTCTGATCGCTGGAACACTAACAACACATATAGTGTATAGTCAGAGGAGACCGTGTAAGGTTTATTAAGAGAAAGTCACTAATATTCAAATACGCAAATACTATTAAATTATTTAAAAATCCCAGTTATGCAGTTCCTGTTCCAACAAGCTATCCATGATTCAGAACTGGTTTCTATATCTTGCCTTTTTAGTAGGTCTCCATTTTACTACTCTGGAACTACCCCATTTGACCAATGTAAGTTGTTCAAGGTCAGTTGATAAATGAAGTTATATGACAATCATGAGAATGTATCCTTGATATCATGTCTGATTTTATTGGGTTCTGTAATGGTCTTGCTAAAGCACATAAATCTATATGGTATAATTCTGTTGAATGGTCCACTAGTGAGTAACTGTTTCAGTGTCTCATTTAAGGCCAGATTTAGACAACATTTTTTCATATTGACTGCAGATTATTTAAGATGCAATTTGTATATAAGCTAGAGGCATACAAGTAAACATAGTGGTAAAGTGGGCATGGTACTGCATTCAACCAATTTTTATAAATACAGGCATTGGCTCCATACAGGTTACGTGGCAAAGTAGTCACTCCGTTATAGCACAGAACAAAGAATTACTGTATCTTCTACCCTGCGGACAGTACCCACTCACCATATTCTGAAAATCCAACCTCAGTGCCAACCAACTATCTGGAGATCACTAAGCTTCCCTAAAAGAGGAGGTGGTTAGCTAAGACACTGCAAGTATTCATTTATATATTTTATGTTGGGTTTAAAAAATGCAAAAAGAGGAGGAGGAGGAGAGAGAAGTTCGAAGAAAATGAAAAGATGCCTAGAGAAAATATAAACATTATAATTTTGACCCAATTGGAATTACAAATATCTGGATGGAAAAGAGTCAGAGAGACTGTGATAGTACTATCTCTTCTTGAGTTTAGAAAGTTTAGTTAGAAAGCCATTGGGATCACTCATGATGGTTTAGGAAGACCCACATCAAATTGAAAAATGTGGTTGCTTAGCAATGCCCATTCATTCAATGGTCCTAGAGAGCTTCATTTATTTGCCAAGAGTTTTGACCTAACAGGTAAAATATGAAAAGTTTTTTACTCCATCTCTGGAAATTCCTAGCTATTATGCAAGCCCAAGTTACCACAATATAGAAAAGTCCTGTAAGTAAGTTTCAATTTTTATTCTGTGATAGTGATTCACAGTGATGCCTAAAAGTTCTGGTTTTGCTGAAGCTCACTTTTATTACTCGCCTAAATATGTTTTTCAGTTTTCAAATACAAGGAAGATTGTATTCATTGCTACATAAATCACTAATTTTTTTAAGAGGTAGAAAATATTAGCAAAGGAGTAATACGAATGTGATTGAATGAGTAAAATGAATACATTTTAGATAGCCTTTTCTACTCGTTTCCTTTAATGAGAGAGTATCTTTAAAAGTTCGCTATCATATGCAGCTGAATGAGGTGTGTGCTGTGAGTAGTTTGCTGACCTGATTGCAATCTAATGTAAATTCAAAATACAATAATAATTTCTGTGAAGCACACATATTTCACTCAAAAGTACTGTATGCATTCAAATAGAACACCCTGAGGTAACATAAAATAGTTGCCTCTATTATGAATCCTAATTTTTGGGAGAACTAAATTTGAATTCCCAAATCTATTACCTGCCACAGTTAAATGGGAGAAAGACTCAGATTAATCAATTTGGATAATGTGTTTTAATTAGGGCAAATGTTTCCTGTTTTAAAAATGTGAATGTAAATGTTGATATTTTAAAACATGCTTGGCTACACTTTAATTCTTTATTGTGGTTAGTTTATTGGATAAGCAGCACATTTGAAAATACTATTTTAAATTTCATATTACTGTTTCATAAGCAAAACAAGATTGGTCCCTGCCCACAGACAGCTTAAAATCAGGAGTTGCAGAAACTGACTGTCCTTAGGACTAAAAAGTCTGCAAGCTATATGAATCTCACCTGATCCCAAACAAAACTATCTGTGTTCCAGCAGAAGGAGTTGGTACAGCATTTGGAAATATGATTGGCCAAGCTAATAAAAATATTAGGGCCAAGAGACTTTTGGAATTCTATATGGTGCTGCTGTTTTAGAGTTTGAAATTGAGTGATAGAAGACAGAACAGGAACAACTGCAGTAATGAGTCAGTATAGCCAGGTTCTTGACTAAGAGTAAGATAATGTAAAAGCATGTGGTGATTACTGTATTTTTCGCCCTATAGGACACACTTTTCCCCCTCCAAAAATGAAGGGGAAATCTGTGTGCGTCCTATGGGGTGAATGCAGGCTTTCGCTGAAGCTTGGAGAGTGAGAGGGGTCAGGTGCGCACCGACCCCTCTCGCTCTCCAGGCTTCAGGAAGCTATCAGCAAGCTTGGGGAGCCCGCGGGAGTTCCCGCAGGGCTCCCTAGGCTGCGGATAGCAGCCTGCTGCACGGAGCGCGGGGAGCGTTGAAGCAGAGCGCCCCCGCTTCGGGCAGACATCAGGCACCCCCACAAGCTCGGGGGACAGCGGGGAGGCGCAGCGCCTCCATCCCGCTGTTCCTCGACCTGGTTTGGAGGCTGGCGCTGGGGAGAAGCGCGCTGTTCCCTGACCTGGTTTGGATTCCCCGACCTGGTTTGGGGGGGGGAATAAAGGAGAATTTTTTCCCCTTTATTTCCCCCCAAAAAAACTAGGTGCGTCCTATGGGACGAAAAATACGGTGCTTGTAGATCTTGGGACTATATGCCCCAGTTGCCCAGGAGCACAAATTCTGGGCACAAGGAAATGTGTGGCTACCGCCAGGCTATAACTTCCCCTAACGCTTGCTATCTGGCCTGCCACTTTCAATCACAGGGTGAAACATTTTCTATCCAACTTTAACATGCTTTCCTTGAGGTATTTCAAGCTAAGACTGAAGCCCAAAGAAGCCTCTTTTACCTTGTGCTTGACGCTTGTGCAAAGCCAAGAGCAGCAATGGTTTGAGGGCCTACCAACTTAGAATTGCCTAAAGGGTGCTTAAAAGAAAATACAGAACAGTTAATATAGGTTCTCTACACTTGTTTATTTTCTCACACAAAAAGCCAAGAATAAGCCGCAAATACCTGCACCCTCCCTTGGAATCATAGAATCACATTACATCGCCAACCAAGTACACCACATAATCCCATATGTTCTAGAAGATGAGACTAAACAGTGGGTCCACTTTGAGAGAGACACCATCGAAAACACCCCCACAACAGCATAACTATTTTTCCAAAACAAACTAAATAAAATCCCCACAACACTAAACAGCTTCATGCAGTCCATGCTTAAAACATGGAACAGAAAAGCAGGCAAACTGTGCCCAGCCCCACTAACACCCGTGGCTCACCACCCACTATTCCAACACACAGCACAAAACCTCCAGATAAAATCCTGGCAAGCCAAAGGTCTACACCGTCTAAAAGACTTCTACATAAACAACAAAGCCATACCGACACAAGAAATACAAGACAAATTTGGGGACACCCAAATACCCTGGCTAACACCTTCTTAAACAATCCAGCAGTACCTCCACGTGTGGTGGGAATGCTCCAAAATCCAACCCTTTTGGACAGCAGTGGGGACGTGGGTGGCGCTGTGGGTAAAAGCCTCAGCGCCTAGGGCTTGCCGATCGAAAGGTCGGCGGTTCGAATCCCTGCGGCGGGGTGCGCTCCTGTTGTTCGGTCCCAGCGCCTGCCAACCTAGCAGTTCGAAAGCACCCCCGGGTGCAAGTAGATAAATAGGGACCGCTTACTAGCGGGAAGGTAAACGGTGTTTCCGTGTGTGGCTCTGGCTCGCCAGAGCAGCGATGTCACGCTGGCCACGTGACCCGGAAGTGTCTCCGGACAGCGCTGGCCCCCGGCCTCTTGAGTGAGATGGGCGCACAACCCTAGAGTCTGGCAAGACTGGCCCGTACGGGCAGGGGTACCTTTACCTTTACCTACAAGAGATATGCAAAATAACTAAACAGGTATTGGGAGCCACCCAAGAACTGGCCCTACTGAACATTTTCCAAGATCATAACGAACACTCACATTATAAAGAGCTTATAAACCACCTACTCTCAGCAGCCAGAAGCCTCATAGCCAGACAATGGAGAGACCTGTCAGAAGTGAACATGGACCACTGGTACCAAATTGTATGGGAAACAGCTTTACCAGAAAAGCTAACCAATGGACTGAAACTGACACAGAGACAAATAGAAGAGGATGCCTTCACTCCAGTATGGCTCCCCTTTATCACATACACAGCCCAACAAGAACCCACCAATAGTATATGAATCAATATGGCTTACTTGACCCAACAAACCCTCCCCACCCCCTCACAAATACAAACAAACCTCACTACAGCCAACCACAACCAACCAACCACACCTTGGGCTCTCCCAATCCCTCTCACTACCAAGGAAATGTAACAAGTGAATACAAAGAGAACCTATCCAGTTGATGCTGACACAAAATCCAGCATGTACACTATAAAGAAGAGAGTAAGTTGCACCCCCCTCCCCTTTATTTTTCTTCGCTGCCCTTAGAGCATCAATA